TACGTTACGTTATAATTGTGCCGTCAAAGCTTCGTTTTATACGTTACGTTTATTTTAAACGTCCATACACTGTTAAAAACCACTATTAAAACCATTTTTTTATTTAGAGTGAGAAAGTATTATTACAACAGTGTTTAAAAAAAGTGAACTTGATGTTAAAAACCTCGCCAAAATTATTTCCCAGAACATATTATTAATAAAATATGTTAATTTCAACAAATTAACAAGTGTTTCATTACTTGATAAGGTTACTTAATAAGGGACAAAAAACCAATGATAAAAATATTACGAATAGTTTTAATGCATGAAAAAGGCGTTAAAACTTTTTAAACTTTATTTGATTTACAACTCTCATAAAAACCAAATAGTTATCACACCTGCATTATGTAAAAATAAAAGACTTTTTCTATAAAAATGTATAGGTAATTTAGCGACTAATCTCAAATTTAAATACAACAGTCGGGTTTGCCATGATGAGTTATATGTTAATCCTCTTACATTCATCCAAAAATTAAATTTTATAGATTGCTTTGTCAGATACGCCGAGTCCAAAAGCAGTGCACCTGCAACCAGCTTTCGCTAGAATACACTATGCCGTGAGATCGACTCTCTTACATGCTCAGAACTAGACTTATTCTACTGCGCGAGCGACGATTTGAGGGGACGCCACCTAACGGTGACTAGTTCAAACACAGGTGTTTCGATTTTGTCAAAATATCAGTGTAAGTAAATGTGATGAAAGCATAATGTACTAGTATAACAATAAAAAAAACATATGTAACGTAACTATAAATGGCACCACTTATTCTATTGGATCGTTTATAATCACATGTATGGTAGAACCAGAAATGCAGTTTGGCAAAATTGTTTCTATTAACAAAATCATTATTGATAATACTGAGTCGGCAATATTTAATGTATTATATTCAGAATTATATTTTGATGAACAGGAAATGGCATATTTTATCGAAAACATAAGCTCAGAAAAAGTTGAACTATAGTTGTCCGATATAATAAGAATGCCAGCAAGTTAAATGAAAATGTATTTATTGTACCAAGATATGTCCTATAATATGTATAATTAATCAATAAAACAATTCTTTAATATATGTAAACAATTAATGAAATAAATCTAATAAATACAGCTATGTGATTCACTTCTTTTGTATTGTAAGCATCGTAGCGTAATTCATATGTAGCGCTCGCATTTCTATCTGCGTTCGCCGCTCACTATTCATGTATAAGAGTAGTCACTACTCTTCAAATGAAATATAGCAGTGGCTCCCGAATTCGGAGGTGCCCCCACTACTTGAAGTGGTAGTCAAAGATCACAGCGCCTTCGAAGTAGCCCCTTCTTTTGGCATTCTTATTCTCAGTGCAGGTAGAACGGCTAATCCCTTTCAGTGCACTTACACAAAAAATTATATTTATGCAATAGTATGACGAAAAATGTCTTTTTTCGCACATTTTTTAGTGCGCAAAAAGCGTTGTTGGACACGGGTGTGCGGTAAAAAGCCTTATTCAAATGAAAGTATATTTCGCCTACTAATGCATAAAATTTTGTATGCAACACTTGCCCAGCTTTTTGCTCACGGTGTGCGGAAAAAAAACCCACTCGTGCCGGCATAGCCGACACTCGTGTCTTTTTCCGCACACTCTTGCCCAAAAACGCCTTTTGGGCACTTGTTGCATAAATAACTATTTTTCATTAAAAAATAAGTGAACGTACATGTTTAGGGGAGGGGGTTTTCGTGCTTCATTTCAATAATTGTTTTTGAGCACATAGTAAAATGAACTTATCTATAAATTATATACGTTATAAATAGTTTTGTAAAGAACATTTAGTTAGCTTTTTTAGCTAAAAATAGTGAAAAATAATCTAACTACAGCAAATTTTCTAGCACAACTGAAAAAAAAAGATCGATTGCGAGGGACACTGTTACTGAAAATCTACTCGACCGATTCTTTCCAAATTTTTCGAACTATTTAACTACATAAATTATGAGGTAATGACGTCGAGATTTTTCGTTTAAAATGATTTTTTGGGTTTTTGGCATCATTTTAAAGTGAAAAAAAACCGCTGCCAATTTATTGGCAAAGAACTTCCTCATAAAAAATAATATTAATAAAAGGCATTGGCTATTAACGTAAAAATTCGTATTTTTAATTTTTCATTCACTGTCTAGTGTCTTAACTACCAGTAGAATTCTATGTTAGCCAAAAGGCAGAGAAAACAAAAACTCATACAGACATTTGTTGGTAATTCAATGTAGTTTCCAAATATGTAAACCAAATTGTCCTACGACTTCTGGTTCAAAATCTCGTTTTCGAGCCTGTCACAGAGCTCCCTCTATGAGGAAGCAAAAAGACTTTTTTGAAAGAAATTAAGGTAAAAAGTCATCGTACATGTTGGTAAAAAGCATTTAAAAATGCAAAAAGTTAAATTATCTCGACGTCATTTCCTCACTTGAAATAATGATGGACCTGAAAGTGAAGCCAATCTATTCGGCCTCTGATTGGTCAACTGACTTTTGACTCGAGTCGAAACGTAATAAAGTGACATCTACGGTCAAAATAGCAACTTTTTCGAAACTGAATAAAAAATGTACGAGCGCGAAGCGCGCCTGAAAGTTGCTAGTACCTTATATATTATCTACTTAAATAGTGTATAAAATATGAAGTGGATCGGTCGAGCAGATTTTGAGTGATGGTATCCACCGGATTTTGAAGTGTTTTTTACGTTGCATGTGAAAATTTGTTGTAGCCAATATTATGAATCGAATTTATTAAATTTTTATTTGACATATGAAGATGAACTCTCCTTACACTGTGTGAAAACCGCAAGATAGAATGTGCTTCTCTAGTTATTCGCATCGATTAACGGTCAACGAGGCTCATTATTCAAAATCACACACAAAGCGAAGAAACCCACAAAAACTAATCGAAGGTTAACACGCATACTCGCTAGATTAGATCGGATCATCATTAACGAGAAGAAAGCTCAATAGCCTACTGAGCGAGCTTGTGAGAGTGAAGGTCCACACGATTCCGATTTAATCGAGGAGTGCTGCGACGATCGATTTCTCCGTGGTTTATGAAGAAAAATCGAAGAAAATTTTCGATTGAAAAAATTCGCCGTGAATACGCGTATACTTGGTACTGTAGCATTCAAACCGATATAAACACGGGGCTCCCACGTCCATTCTGCTCGCTACGCGTATCATCAATCAAATCTGTACTACTCACTACTCGCTCGAGCATAAGAAGTCCTCAAAAAAGAAAAGAAAACAGAAAAAGAACGAAAAATCGTTATTCACGTGATCCTCAATATATATGAGTGGTATAAACAGAACGATTATGAGCTACTGCACATTAATTATATAGCTCGTCGCGAGTCGATGCGATAATTGTGCTGCTATATAGTATCGTCGTCGAGCCCGCTGCGATCGCGATTCGTATATAAAAAATAGACGCGTAGTGCACTTTTATCGTCCGAATGGTTCCGACGCGATAAGCATCGAATTTGCTCATCGCCACATTCTGGGACCCCAAGAATTAGTATAGGCAAATTGCATCGTCTGCGAGTGGCCTCAAGAGCGACTCCTCTACGTATAAGCTACTCGTATATTTACTGTACGCATATATATGAGAATGATCTGTACGTAGTGTATATATACGGCATATATGTCAAAAGGGCGAGTGAATATATCGAAGAAAAGAGATGGACGTCAAGCGGAGAGAACATTTATGTGTTGCGACTTTTCGAAGTAGGGCTGAGTGTACACACGGGCCCTCGACTTGTGCACAAAACACATACGCTCGTTCGGTAGATGCTAGACAAGTCTAGACCGTTTAATACACGCGCCCGCGCGCGGCTTTTGTGTTATATCGCTCTCTGCAGTAGCAGTAGCGGCATCGGAGATCTCGCAATGTGCGAGAATAGCCAAGACCTATAAGACCTACGATTTGTACGGTGATATCCAATACGCTTATGTATCGTACGTACATCAAGAGCACCTAAACTTTTAATCGTGTGATTTTTACACTCAATTTGTACGATACCTCGGGGATAAGCTGCGACTTTTGCTCTGCTCTAGCTAATCTTTCCATCTAATTCGTTGGAAAATTAGCCTGGTCGAATGATTATTACATGCTACACCTCGAATGTACTGAAAAAGTTTTTACGAATCGTATTTGTATTTGTAAATCGAATAGGTCGATGTAATTTAGTTTAAAAAAAATGAAATACGATCGTTTAAATAAAAAAAAGTTAAACATGGAAAATTATTGAATGGTATTTGTGTGTTTGTGTTCTATGCAACAAAAAAGTCGCGTAGAAACGGCGTAGAGAAGCGATATTAACTCAGATTGAACAAAAAGAAAAACCGTTGAAATTATAGAAATTACAAATTTATGCTCGTTATTTTTCAAATATAAAATAACTGTAACTCTTACCTTGACTGCTGTATTCACAACAATTCTATACGATAATACCGAAATAGCTCCTGCATCCTTCTTGACTCGAACTTCGTTATCATGGATACAAAAAAATTTCAATAGTAATCCAACTATCGATCCGCAAAATCTGAACGTTTGATGCAATCGAACAATTACTGTTATAAGAGTCGTATTGTATTTATTACATACGCAACGACGATTTTTGAACATAGCTCACAGTTACTGCACTACACGAAACACTGCGAGGACTGCGCCGCCAATCTAAGCGAGTGCTGCCCCCAGTCGAGTCACTAACCGAAGCACTCTGCACTAGGCGTTCTGCGTTCTACGCGCCAACGGTCGTCGGCAACATTGGCAGTTATGCACGCAGCGAGTCCCGCGCGCGGGCTGCATCTTATCGACTTCGTATGCCCAACGTATTTGTATGCTGCCGGTGGTGCAATCGCTAGTACAATAACGCACGGACGTGCAACGTTCCAACGACGACTCGTACGACGGACGGTTAGTGAGAAAATTCAACGGCCAAGAATCCTTCGAGCGCGATGGCGGGTTTTCGTAACAGCAACGTCGTTATGGAATTCAGCGACGAGGGCAATTCGAATAGCTGCGACAGTTTGATGAGCTGCGGGTCCTACGCTAACAACACGGCCACTGCAACGAACTACGACGCGGAGCTTTTGGTGGAGAAATTCGCAGATATCAGCATTCGAGACTTTCGAACTCGCCGGTAAGCTATAACGATTTCGTCTCGATTAAAAATTCGCAATAGCTTTCGTTACACACTCATCTAATGCGTAGTGCATTTGTGTTTGTTTTTTTTTCGCGACGCAGTTGCTTTCTCGTAAAACGCATCGAGGACTTGGCTCGCGAGCTCGTCACCGACATCGCACAGCAGAAGGTCCCGAGCTTCGAGTACGACGACGGGCGCAACTCCGGCTGGAGCAGCTGCAGCAGCGGCTATCACAGCACGGGCGATGCGCGCGAGAGGCGCATACGCTTTAACGGCAACGCCGGCCGGCAGAGGTTCACTCTGCTTCTGCACATACTGAACGACGCCCACCGAAACCTCGTGAATTACCTCGACAAGACCGACGATGCCTTTTATCGCACGAAACGCGCACTCTTCTACATGATGAAGAACGAGCCTATCAAGCGGTTTGTCAAGAAGCAGGCCAAAGTCGAGTGGGGAATCAAAAACGTCACGCTGCTTCTGGACTGCAGTCCTTGGGAAATTGGTAACTTGTCTATGTTCATATATTTGCATTCAACGAATACGATTGTATCCAAGTTTCTTCGTTTGTTATATCACAGGCTACATATCGACCAGCAAAGGTTTGATCGCTGGCGATCTCACGCTACACCTGAAGAATCCCGATCGCGTAATACAGTTCGAGCAGCAGACCTGCCGAGCCGTGCCCGACGTCGTGGCCAACATCTGCCACATTCGCACCACCGCCGAGTTCGTACTCGTCGTCGAGAAGGATTCGGTTTTTCAGAAGCTGAAGAGCGAGGACTGCCCAAAGTATAACAATTGCATCCTGGTCACGGGCAAGGGCTATCCCGACATTCCCACTCGCATGTTCGTCAGCCTGTTGTCTTCAAAGCTCAAACTGCCAGTTTATGCGCTCGTTGATGCGAATCCTTACGGTTTCGAAATTATGTGCGTTTATAGGTATGATAAATGAAAGTCAAGTAAGAAAATGATCTTCTGAAAAATGAGTTATTCTTTACGTGTATCATTGTAGGTTTGGTACTACAAATAATCTAGGGTATCGAGAGCAACTCTTATGTCCAGACATGAAGTGGATCGGAGTTCACCAACATGATTTGGTTAAACTCGGTATCACTAGAATAAAGCTTACAAAAAATGATTTAAAAAAAATTCGAGATCTACAGAATCGCAGCTACATCGATCAAGATTTTTCAAAACAGTTGATGGAAATGAGACTGGGCAAAGCAGAAATTGAATCTGTAAACAAACCAGCCTACCATCGATTTCTCACGCAATATTATATTCCAATGAAAATTCGACACAAGAAATATTTTTAGAGTTTTCATCTCTATGCGGTTAAAGTGAAAAGCTTACATTTGAAAGTTTTTTTAATTTTATATGAAATATCATAAGAGAAGTGCATGTTTTATATTTTAATTAATTTTTAATATGCATCAAGCATTTTATAGAATTGTAAATAGTATTTTTAATGGCTAAAAATCAATTTTAATCGTTGATGTATATTTGCTCGATGTGCATGTATATTAAGATTATTTTAAAACTTTTTAACTGGATCTGTGCTTACGTGCATGTCTTGAAGCCTGTCCAAAATATCGTTATCACTGGGCATGCTAAAATTGAAAAAAGAGAATTGTAAAGCAACTGCATTTTGTAAAATTGCTTAATTAAACTTTCTACTTAACCCATTTGAAGGTAATATTCTTGAATTATTTCTATTTGATACTGTGTCATTGAAATTAACGTGATTACTATTTTTATAACTTCGCAATTTTTGTTTATATGGTTCAGTCTTGAGGGATTCGTCATCGCTGCCATCATCGAGAGTGACCAGTTCAGGGATCTTTTGATAATTTCCCAAATAAATGACACTCTCCATACTGGCCACTGTTACCGGTCTTGGTTTTTTTTGGAATGTGATGAACAAATCTCTTTTGGTTTTAGACGTGTCAGGCTCGGCAGAACGCTGTCTAATTCGGTGAGTCCTTCTGCATGCACGTACGAATAAAATTATAATTTTTCTGGAAAGTTTGTTTCAAATCGAATGAAATGAGTACCTCTTTGAATGACATGATATTTTTCGGGTTCCTACGTTATTGAGTCTCGGACTTCTTCTACGCGGTATTCTGCGCGCCATTATCCTGCTATTTTTTGATTTTTTCATTTATTATGTACCATTCAATCCGACTGGATCAAGCTAAAGACTTCCCGAAATATATTTTGTTTGTAAATATATAAAATATCGATTAGAGGCCTTTACTTTTAACCTATAGAGTTTAATCGATGCTCTTTTATTTTGCTTGCAAAATAAACGCCCGTTTCGCGATGCAGTTTACATATATCTTCGTAACTCTTCACCTTTGAGCGAGTAATAAAAGAGTGCATGAATGAGTAAGTGAAAAATAAAAAAAACACAAGTCAGGTAATGTAACAGTTTATTGAAAACATTTCACACCCGATACTTGACATGCTCAGACAAGCTATCGTTCTTTCTCTTGTATTTTTTTTTCGATATTAAAAATCGCAGAATCTTAGTAAATAGCGACATGATCGTCTCATTGGAGCAGAAAATAACTTGGTGCTAGACACCAGTTTTACATTGTTATTGCAATGTCATATCAAAGCGCAATTCGCATCGGTTATTTTTTTTCATTTTTATTTTTCATCTTCGTATTTATTTACTCTAATAAAAAATATCATGAATGTGATTTCCTTTCCTTTTTATTATTTATTTTTCCCTTAACGAAACGTATACCTCATCATGAGATTGGATCATTGCGTAACAAAGCAATCGAATGGTAAATCCAATTTCACAATATCATCAAGTACACAGTTATATTTGTATAAACATCGTAGAAAGTGTTACAATATCGCTCAATTAATCGTAGAAAATTCAAAACTCAAAACTGACGAAGATGTGTCGTGGGAAAAACAATTGAATGTTTTATAGGCATTTTACATACCTTACAGAATAGCGATCGCTTTTTTTGAACTCTTGTCGTCGATGTGCATACACCGCGCGTCGATAATTGTCAATTAATTGAGAGATATTTTGTTTTCGTTTGAATGAAGTATGTCTCATTGAAGTGGAAATTCGTTAAAATGGAATAAATGTTGTTTCGTCGTTTTCTCGTTAGTATTTTGGGGGGGGGTGTTTTGGCGTGAGTGTCGATAATTTGATACAATTGTTTAACAACGTTATTATAAAGATTCTGGAGTTTTATTTAGAAATATTAATAGCTAAAAATAATTTTATCGTACTTGTTCAAATATGCCTATATGTCGTTTTTTATGGGATAATATATTTGTACATATATGAGAATTTTTTTGTGTTGCAATTGCAGTCGTCGAATTATTCATCTCTCGAAATTGACGAATTTCTACATTTATATTAAGAGTTGCTTCAATGATAAATTTTCGAACAAATTCTTCCATTACATTTTAATTTTCACAAATTTTTAAGATTAATAATTGATCGTAGCACTATATAGTCCAGTTATACTTAATGTCTTTCCATTTGTTTGCATCATATCTTTCGGATCGAGTCAACGATATCGAACTCCAGTAATAGGTAATAATCGGCGTTCGGATTGATATGCAAACTTTTTTATTATATTTATAAATAACTTTCTACGATTCCTCAAAATTTTTTTCAACGAAAAATAAAAGTGGATCAAACAACAATGATTATCTCGATTCAAAGCTCGCGCATAAGCTCGGCCACTGCAACGGAAAACCAATCAAATTAATCTTATTGTAAGCTTACACTATGTATTTTTCGGCAACTTGCGTGCCTTTCCATAGTCTCGCGCTAAAGCTCGGTTTACTCATATCAATTACATATATAATATATTTTTGTTTGTTTTTAAAGTGCAAGGAACATGACGGTGAATCATGACATTCGACATGTTTGTGCTGAACAACATTTTCAATTCCCCGTGTCTATACATTATTTTTTATTCTCCGCTGTATACACATAATTCATTTATAAACCGATAAAAATAATGTATTTACAGAATTCAACGTGGATGAAAGCTCAATTTTTTTTCTCTTTTATTTTTGCTGTTTTCTGTCATATCTGAAAATGCAATAGCGAATTGGATTCCGTGCGCACCGCAGAAAATTATCGTTAAATCGCGCCACGAGAAAAAACAAATTTAATTCGCTTTCTCATCGTGCTCTATAGACGTGACCATTGCAACAAACTTATACATGCGTACACATACACACTCACACACAGATAACGCACACGTATTTTTTCTCTTTTTTGATATATTGCCGTCCACGCGAACCGTTTGTCTTTTACATATATACACAGAAGCGCGCCAGCGAGCGAGCGTTGATATCATTTGCAAAAATCACAAATTGTTTTATCACTATACGTAAAATGTAGCAGCAGTGCTGTATTTTCTCTTCCTTTTTTTTGTTACTCCTCTGGGATAAGCGATACACACGTCCAGCAAAACAATTTCAATCGCTCGTCGCCATCGTGTTTTTCTTTTCTCTCTCTCTCTCTCTCTCTCTCTCTCTCTCTCTCTCTCTCTCTCTTTTCATTATTTATTTTTTATACACGCTTCGGACTTAAATTACCATCAGATTATTTTGCAATGTTTGAACTGCTTTACATGTTTGTTTTGAATGCGGATAAAACAACAAGGTGCGTTCCAACAAGATTTTTCGCAAACTTTAATTTACGAGATGTAACGATTATCATAAGCTTTGCTCGTATCTTTACCCATTTGTTGTATCTATACTACTCATCCTTATGAACTAGCGGCGTTACCACCACCCGCTGTTATCGCCCTCGCAATCGTTAATATTGCTAAAATTGATATAATTATTGTTGTAATTGCGATCGAATTTCGCAAGCAGTGGATGTGGCGTTATAATCGTCGAGGCGCGATAACGACAAGTAATGACGGTAAGGAGGGTTTAATATTTATTAATTATATTTTGTCGATTATTCATAGTTTGATTACTTGCACTAGCCTTGATTGTCGGCATGTTGAAAGGTTGAACGAATCATAATTGAATAGTGCTGCGAATGCGTGCCATTAATATAAAGCTTATAATAACGACGCATCTTAATTATTATGACGCATATGAAAAAAAACTATTCTCCTAATTAATTTCCTCTCTTGTATTTTGATCGTCTTCAAGATTTTTGATTATCAAATTTAAAAACTCGTACGATTGTACAAAAAACAGGTACGATAATGGTGATGTTAGGGTTATTATTAGCGATAACAATTCTCTGGCAGAAAATTAGGCACATGCATATTAGGTTTTGATTACTGTAGCGTGCTGATTTTCGTGCTTATAAAGTGTAGATCTTAGAAGTGGAAAAACTTAGCGTATTGAATTTCTAAAATGACTGTCAATATGCTTAAATTCTACCAGAGTCGTAAATTTTAAATACTCAAAACAATGTAGAGTGACCTTTGAATAACATTTTCTTAGACCTTATCAGTTATGTCCTAGAGTTAATTATTTATTAATTCTCATTCAATAAGAATAATGTTTGTTAAACAACTATTATTTACAATTACCTTATTCTCGTAATTAGGTTTATATTTTTTTAATGTATATGACATTAATGTGAGGCCGTAATTGGATCACTCGCTTTTATATATATTGTATAATATATATAAATATTGTACGACTAGTTTGATTATTTTACACCTATATCGATTAGACGTTAAAATCCGTATTATTATACGGTAATTTTTTTTGATACATAATGGAAAGCCTTAACCGCAACGATGAAAAATGATTCATTAGAATAATCGATTTTGTTAGTAAGTTTTGGGGTAGTGCTCGAAAATTGCGAGTCTTTTTTCTAAATATCCATAGTCGACGTAGTATTTGATTGTATCGCAGGCCTTTTATAATTAATTTTATCTTTACAAAACAGCATAAATACTCATTTAGCCCGAACGCAAGATCGATTTTATTTAAAATGACAACATTTTATTCAACTGATTGCACAATGACTTTTTATCACATTGTTACAAGAGACTATATGATATTTCGACGCTGTTAATAATGATTAATCGGTGATTGTCCATGGACATAATCGATGCAGTTTCAAGCGTACACGTGATTATATCTTAAAACTTTGAATTTTTTTTTATTGTAAGCGTACATGTTGTAATTAATTGCTCTTTTGTGTATACATTATAATGTACATGAAGCAGTTACTTGGGTAGAGCTGCTCGACCAAAGTTATAGTGTTGAAACTTTCAAAAAATTGCCAGCTTCTTATTATTGCAAGTCGAAGTAATTTCCGAAAGACTTTTTGTTTTTGTATTTTTCTATAAAACGAGTAACATTTTTTAGCATATTAATTGTTGACAATATTACATTATTTACAGCTTTTAGTCAGAATAACGATTTTGGTTTTAAGAGTTGAATGGCAGCTAATCGATACTTCTTTTTTCTCCCTCTTTTTCTCTCTCTCTCTCGCTCTTTCTCTAAACTATATAAAACATCATGAACTCGTTGAAGAAGTTATTCGTTTCTCGTGACTAGCTCGACAAATTGAAACGAACAAGTTGGTTAATTAGCCAGCGATAACGAAGCAGCACCGCCGCGCCCGTTGGTATACCGACTATTTTCTGGCTACACGAGCACACGCGACGCGAGGACGAGGCTTAGCAACAAGAGTTTATATGCATTTTAGGCGTGTGTGGGTGTGGGTATAAGAGTGAATTAGGCGTGAGTTTGCGAGAAGCGACAAGCGGAACGATCTATACAGAGTCAAAGCGAGAGAGAGAGAGAAAGAGCTGCGCAAAGTGTGCGCTAGGAAGAGCTAGGAGGTGTTTGCAGTAGTAGTAGTAGTGGTAATAGTAGTAGTTGCTCCAGCAGTGATAATGATAGGAGGTTGGCCTTGTTAAAGCTGAACAATAGACGGTAGCAGTGGTAGCTACGACGACGACGACGTATCGACCAAAGACAGTCGTGAGTCTGAGGCACTAGGAGGCGTCCAGAGCCAGGCACTCAGCGAGAAAGTCCTCCATGGAACGATAGGCGTGCTCCTGCACGCCGCTCAGTGCGTGATCCTCGTCTGCGTAGCTCTGCGGAGGGAAAAGAGAAAAAGCTCGATAAAGGATACAGTCGAGTTTTATTTTTTTCAATTTTCAATTGATTTCACTTCGAATGTACGCACCTGATATCGGAAGATGACGCCGGATTCGGTGAGGGCCTTGGCAAAGGCCATGCCATGCGCGTACGGGGCCGTGTGGTCGGCCATGCCGTGGAGCAAGTACAGACTGTGACTCGGCACTAGTCTCGCTCGCTGCGACAAGTCGGCCTCGACGTAGCCCTTGAAGTTCTCCGAGGGCGGGCCCAGTACACGTTCCGTGAACGCAGAGTCTGCGAGTCATCACCGGTACACGGTTATAAAAAAATTTAATATCTCATTGAACTTGGTTAGTAGTTTCAGGTACTCACTGTAGAAGAGCCAGTCGGAAATTGGATTAACGGCGACGCCACATTTGAAGACGTCTTGCTGGCTACCGAGGACCATGGAGGTGACGTAGCCACCGTAGCCCCAGCCCCAGATGCCGACGCGCGACTCATCCAGGAACTTGTAGCTTTCCAGCAAGTGCTTGAGCACCGTCACCTGGTCCTGGACTTCCACTCCTCCAATGCGTCGATACAGGGCGCGTTTGCCCTGCCCACGAGAGCCTCGCACGTCCAACCGCACGTACACCACGTCGTTGTGGCTGGACATGTAGGTGCCCCAGTCCATGCGAAATTTGTCAGTTACCGCGGCGCTACCCGGCCGGCCGTTGACCTCGACCAGCACGGGAAACGCGGCGTCGCGCAGCTCCTCGCGCCACGACGGTGGTAACATCAGCTGCACCTGAGCTCGCCAGCCCTGCGGAAGCGGCACCTCGAAACTGTGACGCTTGGGCAGTGCGAGCTGGGATAGCAAATCAGCGCGCTGGATCCTCGTGTCGTACAGCACGCGTATGATCTGCTGCGTCTTCATGGAATGGATAGCGGCGAGCGGCAGACCCGGGCCCTCGCAGTAGAGCACGTAGTAGCCCATGTCGTCCTCGGAGGCCTCGGGGCTGCCCGGGACCGGCGCCGGATTCGCCGAGGCCCCGAAGTGCGAGCAGTTCGTGTAGTAGTGCCGACCGTTCCACTGCAGATCGGCGATGTCGCAGGTAACGCATAGCGGCTCTACTCGACGTGGATCGTCCGCTATCGGGTCCTTGACCACGTACAGGTGTCGCTGGCCGGGACTGCGCTCCCTCGTGGCCGAGTAATAGACCAGGTGGGATTTCGTGTCCCATGCCAAAATTTCGCCCACCTACGCATTAAAACGTTAAAATTATACATATCGGCTAAAAAAAGTCAGATTTTGAAAATGAAACAGAAGTGTTTTTGAAAGTACCTCGTATTGGCCGTGCGAAAGCACAGCGATTCTCTGTTGAGTCAACGTTACGTGCTTGATATGCGTGAAATGCTCTTGAGCACCTTCCTGTACGGCCGCGAGCAACAGAAAACTGTCGCCGTCGGGCGCGAAGACCGGATGAGGCTGGACGTCGAGCCACTGACCCTCGGGTGCCCTCTCCGAGTGCTTCTCCTCGCACTCCCAGTTAGGGGCGCGACAAGCCGACACCACCGAAAGATTCTGCGAGCGAGTCATCCAGACCACTGCCACTTGGCTGGAGTCGTCGCCTACCCATCCGGCTGATATCAGGTAGTAATCCCTGATGATGACAATGACACAGTTATTAGATTATGTTCCTCATCTGAACACATAAAATTGTTCGCTATGCACACTTACTGGCCATCGAAAACCGGTGGAGGTTTGAGTTTGAGCTTGGCAGGCATCGCACTGGTAACGTTGGTGATGTTGTTGTAAACATTCGTGACATTGGTGAAGTCGACGAGCCAAAGATCGACCTCGGGATTTGGGGAGCCTGGCGTCGGGTAGCGCACCGAGCGCGAGGGCGGAAAAGCACCCTTGCGCACGACCTCAGCGTTGTTCGTCTGACCGAACCAGGGAAACTCGAGAGCCCGCACCGTTGTGTCGTTGAAGGTGGCGAAGAGCAGACGCGAACCGTCCGAGCTCGGCCAGGTGCAGTCGGGTCTCGGCATTATCTCCTCCTGGTAGAGCCAATCGGGCACTCCATTGTAGATGACGCCCGGCTGGCCCGTGTCCGTGAGCCTGATGTCCTCCGCGAGGCCGGGCGACTGGCGCACGTAGATGTCGTTGTTCGAAACCATGAGCAGGGCGCTGCTGTTGCCGAGCCAGGCGGCGTGCTGCAGACGCGTCTGCTGGATGCGCGACGCGGTCTGCAGGTGCAGCGGCATGTGATGACTGCGTAAGGAGTTAAAAAAGGACGTGAGGAATAACACGTAAAACATAGAGCAGCCCCTAAACGTGATAAAAATACTCACTCGTTGGTGACATCGTAAACTGTGTAATGCGCGGTGAAGGTGTGCCTAAAGACCTGCGACCAAAAAAGCTCGTGAGTTTACACAAAGGTAATATACGCGAGGATAAGAATAAAAAGACTTTGGGACAATGTAAACACACACCACAGTCGCAGCATCGCTCCTGATCCATACTTTGCGATGTATGTGCGCACGTGTGTGTGTGAGTGTGTGTGTATCTATGTGTGGCAGTTGTGTAAATGTATGCAGGAGGAAAAGTGTTTACATACCAGCTTGACGTTATGCTTGAAGAGTACATAGCGAAGATCCGTGCTGCACTGATAGTCCTGAACGTTCAGCTGCCTCTGCAAGCCCATAAATAGCCTGGGTTAACGTTATACATACATAGCAGGGCATATAGATTACATTATTTATATAATACGCGTAATAGTACGGGTGTAATAAAGGGGAAGTAATACTCCGAGAGGATAGCTCTCTCTTGCTATATGGTCGATTCTCTGTGAAATCGAATGTATCACATTATTTGACATTTTAGGGAAACTCTGAATCTTTTAATAATAAAAGTCTGCATGATACTCGATTCGATTTTTTGTTTATATTGCTAAGAATTTAGAGTGCTTAGACGGCTTTGGAACATTATTTTTCTGAAATGTTGGAAAAAGTTCTCTTGAAAGACATTTCTCCAGCATTTTTTTCCTTTATTCACTCTACTTGTACTCCTTAGCAAGGAATTTTTGAATTATTTCCAATAAACATGAATTTCGAAAAAAATTCTAACTTCGGGCCTCTAAAAATGTGGCATACATTTTTAAAATTATAAAATTTCAGGGCATGTATAACATCACAAACAATTCGATTTTCATGACACTGGAAAAAAAAATTTTGGACATTCAATTTCTCAAAGAATCGGCCATGTACACGTACACAAATATACGAGAACCGATAGTAATTTCGAATCTCGGTAAACATTCTACTGTGCGAATACAAGTTTCTCTTGGCCTCTATATCTATTCTACGGTAAAGTACTGCGCTCGTAGCCCCTATGCACTGCACAGATGCCACCGCCTCCGCAATAGAAATAAACCGTGTACATACGCCGTTACATGGATGTGTGTATGTGTACTCCCGTGTACAGAAACTGCATGTGTACGTACGTACTTCAACACAGGGTTGAAAAAAAATGAAAAAAGCTCTTGAAAAACGTAAACCTTTATATATCTAAGCGCGCCGCAAGCTCTAATGCGCGGAATAAATTGGAAAGAGAAGCTATACGCGTGGATTATAGTAGCCACGTGAATGTGTCGGTGTGTACGTGTGTACGAACTGCGTGCGTGTTTGTTGCCGAGGGCACAGCACCTTTCACGAAAATCACGAGCGGCAATTCTGTTTCCTGACGCGTTCGGTTACACCCACGCCATACTAGCTGCTTTAGTCCATATTGTATATACTCGACTTTTATTTCTTTCCTTGTTGTTTTTATTTTACTTTCTTTTCCTTTCTTCGTTACTTCTTCTTCTGCTCTGTTTTTTTCTATTCTCTCTTTCTCTGCGCGTATACACACGTGTAACGCCTAGACCTCGTTCGTGCACAGCAAGAAAGGCATGTATCTGCCTTTAGCATGTAGAGCTGAAAAATTAACGCTCGGAACACCCATAGCCTCGGAGTATCATTAATCAGTGTACGAGAAGAAGAGAAAAAAGAGTAATCCGACCGCGATACAGGAGATCCTTTTATAGATAAAATTGAGGTAACCCGACGAATCAAATCTCAAGGTGGTACTTTGATCGTTTGATTTAGCAGCGTGTACAAAGTAGCCGGTATCGTTTCAGCATCCACGACGTAAGCTGGTTAAGAAATTAATATTTTAATCCGACCACGTAGCGCGGCTATCCGAACATAGATGTACTTAAGTCTATATGCGCATTCGTATAACGCCGTCGCGAATGAATCGCGCGCGACTCTTTGATCGAGAAAGAGCGAAAAAGCTCGTCGAGAGCTTGCGAAGCGCTCGCCGCCGCACTTCGTATAGTATACGTGCAGCGGATCGGGTGCGGCTGCCACTACTGCTGCATACTACTGGAGCGGATCAATGTCTCGCTACTGCCGCAGTAGTACTAGTACCACAACTACTACTACTACCATCGCCGCTAGTATAAACGCACGGCAGCAGCGGCAACGGCGGTGTCGGCATTACTCTTTGCGTCCGAGGATTTAGGGAAGCCTTTCCACTTGCCCCGACTGCTGCATCGTACACTCGCATCGCGTACTGTGTAATCATCGGTTCGTTTTTCTCTTTCTATCTCTCTCTCTCTTCTATTTTTTTTTTCAACTTTTTGTTTCTTTTTTTTTTTCACCTGGCCACGCGCGGATCCTCGATTAATAGGGCCACTACTCAACTTTATGGGATAATGAAAAGCTCCGTGGAGAGTTGCAGCAACGCGCGCGCGAGTTCTGCACAGCTATACATTGCCCGAGTTATTAGCCGAATGGAAGCTTTGCAGATGCAGTTTCTCTTTCTCTTTCTCTCTCTCTCTTTCTGCCTCTTCTTTTTTTTCTGCTGCAATAGTATCGTTTGAAGCGGCCGCAAGCAAACGCCCATTCAAACGTGTGCGTATTAATATATTCCTCTCACAACTGTTTACATTTATCATTAGCGCAATCATCAAAAATATTGGGAAGTGAAAGGACGCGTATGGAAACACTCATATATATTTCAAATGTCGAATAAATGAAAGGCCAAAAGCTGGGCGGCGTCTACTAAGTAGGGCAACAGCTGGGTATTATAGAAGAAATTGAAAACTGCCCGGAAAAAGTAATAATCTAAAGAGAGAGGTATTAAAGTGAAATAATAATGATAAAAAGACTTTTATAGCGAATGAGCTGTATACGAGTTCCTTGATGAATACCAACAATTGAAACAATTAAAAAGCCCTTGTGAACAGCTAGCAGCAGCAGCAGCAGCTACCGTAGCTTCGATGTGGCACAGCTTTAGAAGTTACTAACTCCCTTGGCCCTTGAACTGACGTGGCAGCTTTTTTTCGTTTTTTTTCCTCCCTCGATAAATAAACCCTCTGAGCCCTCGGAAAGTAAACGTGTGCCGTAGTTCAGTACTGCAGGATAGATATATAACATATATAGACCAATTGATCGAACGACGATTAAACGAGCTGATTCGTTAAAGCTGCACGTGCCAACGGTCATTCACGAAAATCAGCAGCCACGCGCGCGCACGAGTACCACTGGCGTAACTCAGTTCTTTCTCTTTTATTTTTTCATTTTCATCGCATCAGCACATCGAGTATCGTCATCGACGCGAGTCCTGATTTTTTCCAATGCTCGTCGAACTGTGTCGCAATCGTCACAATGCACGTGCGCAACGTGTGTGTGGCACATCCATAATGCACCATGCTGGGCAAGGGTTTATCTTTTTGTCACAAGCTCAGTTCGGTGTGAAACTCGTTTCACGGAGTGCAGTGCACAGAGGCGCGCGCACAAGCCCATACGCGTCTCGCTCGTTATGACCACCACGCGCGCGAAAGGGTCGAAACGACGTGCATTGTTTCATCCGCGAATACGCTTGCGTGGGCGTAATCGTCGCGCCGATCATCGCGATGATGCTGCTGCACTGCCTGCCACTGCACACGCATAAATTCTCGATGCCGCGTCGCACACACATGCATATAGCAGCAGCGCTTGCGTTTATTAAGCTCGTCCAGAAGAATCGATAATCGCGCGCGTGTAGGGCTTATGTACCGTATAGCATGTATTGTATTGTACATGTGTACACGCGTCCACGCGCCTCACTCCTAGTCCTCGATGTAATATAGCGCATACGTTATTGACAAATACATATAATACCGCGCGGCGATTGTACGAGATCCGTCTCGTTTACAAGAGGCCCCGCGCAAAGCACGTAGTACAAGCCTCGCGAACAAAGTCAACGTAATATTTCTCCCTTTCCATATATGCCTGCTCTGCAAGCTCTCTTGTCTCTCTCTATTGCTCCATATAGATATTTCACATCTCGCAGTCGAGCGCATCGATCGACAGCTGCTCTGCAACACCACCCCCCATTTCGCTGTGTAAAGCTTATCGTGCGGAAAATTACGCGGAAAATAGGCCTTTATCTCCTCGAGGCATTGCCCATCTCGCGCTTTCTCTCTCTCTCTCTTCCCCCGCTCTTGTTCCTCTCTTTTTAGTCGACTATATCCTCTTTTCTTTTTGATTCTTTTTTCAGCCCTTTTTTGTTTCGAGTTCTAAACCTGCAATTGAAAATCCCTGTGATCCTGTTTTTGCTCTGTGTATTGTGCGTACACGTAATATATACGCGTGTACTATTTGAGCTCCGCAATACGCTGCAAGAACTAATCAAGTCCTTTGGCGTGCGTCTGGAATTTCAGCGAATTTTGTCTCTCTCTCCCTCTGTATCCCTGGTGGAATGATTCCTTTGTATCAATGGCAAAGCGCATACTGTTGCATTGCAGCTCGTTTATATATGTATCCGCTGCGCAGCACCGACTTTTGTTTCGATTGCCTCTTGCGGGCAACGAGAATCCCTGGCGGACGAATTTGCATATAATCCGATGGAACATTCTTTACCACGTAGTGAGTGCGTCGTTGTTGCACATGTGAATACATCTTGGAACATGATTTCGCATCGATAAGGAAGTAGCGTATACGTATTCATTCGAATATAACTCGTACGTAGAGTGCGTTGAAACACGCGTATTTATCGCTAATTCCATATCCGCGCGCTGTGTATGCAAAAAAATTGATGCACTATGCGCTTTATCGATGAGAAAAAGAGAGCGAGTGAAAAAAGAGGAAGAAGACATTGATAGCTATCAGCTTCGCGCGCCGTGTATGATTGATGCTGCCTGTTAGATATATTCGTACGTATATAGCTTCGACTCTTGATCTTGGAAGATTGATTCGCCTCGGCAGGATACGGCGTCGTGATCCTGCAACATGTCGGATATTATATCGGCGCTTCCGAGTACGACGCGCGCACACATTATATACCGTTCCGCGTTGGAACGAGCTGCGCAGAAAAATATTTGCGATTCGAGGTCGTCGTGGTACTCGCGCGATCAGCTCCAGAGAGACCTCTAAGTGAAACCTCTTACGGACAGTGGTAGATGCATAACTGCATTTTTCACACCTATGTCCTCGCGTTTGTTTAGCATATCATCTACATATCTTTCTCGTTTTGCCCTGCGGTGGTTAAATAGTCGCTCGAGCCGCAGTTCTATTCCCGCATTGTAATAATTTATTGATGGCGACTAGCTTGCGAAATGCGTCGCTCGCACGCCTATATATGTACATAAGATATATAGTTGCTCCATAATCGTCCGCCGCATGCCAATGGGTAATAACTCGAGCAATGAGCTTACTGTCGCGCCTTCACACGCGGCGGGAGCTAATGCAGTTGTGCCCGTGGTGCTCGCTCGCTCGCCCGCTTGCGCCGTATAACCGTCGCAGGAAATACGACGTGATGTACAACTCGCACAAGGCAAACCAGTAGCTCGTCATAAATAGTATTAGCCGTTGCCGTTGCTGCTGTATAAGGGCCGGTAGCATATAAACGTAAACACACACACGCGCGCGAACGCTACGCTTGGGAATTCCGGAGGATAGCTCGGTCGGTCGGTGATCGCATCACATCCATATACATGGCGTGTGCCGGGCACATTTGCCGCAGTATACATAGTCCCGTACTACTGGTGTACAGGACAACTATCATCGTATAGTATACGATATACTTACGAGCGTGTGATTGGAGACCAGCAGGGAGACGGTATTGTTGGACGCGTCGAGGAGCGCCAGCGAGCCATCGTCCGCCTGAAATATGAATTTGTCGTGGGCCACCCAAGTCGGTGCCAGCCTCTGCGGCGTCAAGTCACCGTGAAGACATTCCTCGAGCGTCAATCGACGGCCGCTCCAATAAAGAAGCTCGTCTACGTAACTGCTCGCACGACGTCGGAGAGGCAGCGAGAGCGATAAAAAAAAAAAAAAGAAATTGAAAAATTAGACGAGAGAAAAAAAATCCCTCGGTTTTTATATCACGGGCTGAACGACGTATCGTATATACGAGCTTACCCTAGAAGGTAGATGGCCGTACAAATGCCGGCGATTACGGTACTGATGACCAGCAAAGAAAATATGATGCTCCGCCAGTTGTGGCCATCTCCGGGATAAGTCAAATCCTGTAACAAGTAATTTCGAAACCTTTTATTACGCACATCTGTATGAGAAGGTGTGTGTACCTATTTATTTTTCTGCTTTTATTTGTAACTTATACAATGTATCACCGCATCGTCTGTAGAATTGAATTTCGTTGACGCGATTGCAATTCGCGCGTTCTACGTGGCAATACGAGTCGAGCCCTCGCGCGCGCTATAACTCATTATATCTTTCCCGATCGCGCGAAAAATGTCATTGGTACACTCTAGGGAACACAGCATATCGTTGTGCATATACAACATAATATTGTATATATATTACACGCGCATATATAAAACGGTCGACACAATGCGCGAGCGGAAGAGAAAGAGAGAAAGGCTGTGATTCGTTGGTGCGTTATGCGCGTCCGACAAAACTGGACGCGGCAGTGTTCGCGACCAAACGTGCTCCAAATAGCTTATATACGCAGCTTCCCGGGTGCGTTGTACGTTTTCATCGCTTAATTACTCACCGGTAGCAGTTATATTCGCCGAGTCCTGCATACACACACACGTAGCCACGAGCACGAGTTGTGATCCACAGTCCCTACATATATGTGTACGGTTTATTACGCAGGACCGCGTCGACGCGCGTTTTTAGATCCTGTGTGCGATGCTTATCGCTTTTGTGTACGCTTCTCTCTTTCTCTCTTTCTACGGCGTAGCGTGTGTAATAGAAGTGGTAGTAGTGGTGGTAGTAGTCGTACTAGTGATGAAGGCGACGTCGAGGCGGCGAAGCACAGTCTAAATTGCTCCTTCTTATATATACGTGCAGCATGTATGTGTACGCCGCAGAAAAGAGCTCGAAAAGAGAGAGAAAGAGAGAGAAAAGGTTTAATCGAGCGTAACAGTCAATGCTCTACGCGATAGAATAACTTCTGAGCTTTCGGTATACTTATGTAAGTCGTTCTCTCTCTCTTTCGAGCTAGTGCTGCTAGTTTCCACTTATTTTTCCGAACGTAATGTGTTCGATTCGAATGTGTACGTGTGTAAGCGTGTGCTTAATCCTCCTTATAGACTCGCGATCGCGTTTATGAGCGATCGTACAATCGTCATCTCAGAGATGAATGTCATATCCGCGTATCGGAGTAATTCTATGGAAAAACCTTAAAATTGGAAGCTAAAGTCACGATTGAAACTTTGGTCAAAACGCAGAAACAAGCTACATTCTGATAGGTATTTTGTTTATAGCTATTTTTGTTTTCTACAGAATGAAATATCGCATTTTTTCTTAAATATGCGACTACTTATTTTGTGCTTGACAATGGAAAAATGCAAATTTTCGTCCTGTGTAACAAAAACATAACTATCGACCAAATACCTTCTTTTGTGATTCCTGCATTTTCTCATGTTCCTGGGACCCCAAAAATAGTTTCTAAAAAGTTATTTATAAAAGCTCCGAGAGTATGATATGAACATTTTTTGTCTATATTCTCATAACCCCGCACAATTTTACCTGATAACCGTCGAGCATGCACAAAGCTATGCCGTGTGCATATAATAATATTCAAAACTACATTTGTTATACGAAAATAGTCGCGAGAAAGCGCCGAGCTCTTTATAACTTCTGGGCGAACGCGAGCGGCAGCGCGCAACGGAAGAAGAAGAAGAAATCTACGAGTTACGGTGGGTGGGATGGGCTTTTCTCTTGATAGAGCAGGCGAAAGTAGCGAGTCAACATCGGAATCCTAAACAACTAAAGTAGCAGCAGCAGCAGTAATATATAGCAGAAAAGCAGCAGCGGCAGCAGCAGAGTAGAACGGAAGAAAGGGTATAAAATGAATAATCCACCGTAACGCGCGCGCTCAGCCTCTCTCTCTCTCTCTCTCTTTCTCTCTTGCGTACCCGTCGCGTTTAGCCTATATACATCGCGACTGAATTCACGAGGAAGATTCGTCGCTCTCCTTCTTCTTCTGCTTCGTGCTCCTTCTTTAAGTATTCCGTACAAGTGCGCGCGTCAGCGTTGTCCGCGTATACCATATACTGCACGGAGGCGCAGCTGCAGCAGCAGCACGAAGCCGCACCAACCCACACCCACCCCTATACAGCTCAAGCGAGTCGCGACTATACATATAATACAGCGGCAGACTTTTTTAAGCATCATTATCTACGGCGTTGAAGACAGAGTTTTTGCACGCGAGCGAGGAAGAGAGAGAACGAGCGAGCGAGCGAGCGAGAAAAAGCGTGTTCGACGTTACCTGACAATTTATGCGGCTCAGCAAGCTACGCCGCGCCATCAATCGCCTGATCTATTCCTATCTATCTACGTATAACTATACACTGCGTGTGATATATATTAGGCGCTAGTAAATCGCGCGAGCTAGCTCGCAAGCTCTAACATACCGCGCGCGACTGCGAATATAAAGCCCGGGCAATCGTAATACTACTGCGCTAGCGAGCGCGAGAACAAAGCGGCGTGTGGCAATGAAAAAGTATAGAGCAGCTCTCACCTCGTAATTCTCGATCGGCGCCTCATAACTCGTCATCATTTTTGACACATTCGATTCGCGCCGCGAGGGACGCGCTTAAATACGTATACGTAACGTTACAAAAGCACACGACGACGACGACTCGCGTGCGCTCGTGTAGCCGATACTACACAACGACCACACAGAGTTGGACGCGACAGTCGCACGAACGAATGACGGATATATAAAGATGCCGAGACGTCGCGCAGTTACACGCGTATTTGTGTAAATGTGTGCCCGCCGCCGCCGCTGCCGCGTGCCGCGCAGTTGTGTGTCGCGGTAACTGAATCTAATCGAATTATGCAGTTCGCACGTATAAGCCCTGCTCTCTCGCTTTGCGGAATCGAGTTTAAGGTTGAAATAACGCGACGAGTCCGTGCGTGCGTGTGGGGCTTCCCTTCGTTTGCTCTCTTTCTTTCACTTTTTCTTTCATTTTTTTTTGCTTCGAGCTGTCTTTTGGCACACACCGTCGTCTATATTATACGTGTACGCGGCAGCGAACTACGAAGCGCATCCATCGCACGGAAAGCGAGCTCGTGTAATTTAATGCACACACGCTCTACGTATATGACGTGCAGCTTTTTCTTTTGACTGCTCGTACTGTGCACGATGTGTGCTGCCACGCGTGCAGCGAACCATCACCGGTGAACGAAATTTTTCTTATATGTAATGATGATGACTGCGCGAGGATATGTACCAAACACGTATATATACGTATACGTAGCCCCGCGAGGCTGCATCGCGCTCCTGTGTACTTGCGTACGCTGCGTATATAAAATCCTTTCTGCCTCATTAAATTAAGTATCTCTCCGGGCCGTGGGCCACAACTGGCGCCCAAGTTTAATTAGCTTCGCTACCACCGCGGCGTCGGCGTCGAGCGTCGGCTGCGGCAACGGCAACGGCAGCAAAGACGAGAGCTTGTATAGCAGCTATTTCGACCCGTGCCAATTAACCCGAAGAATTATTCCAACATTACGCCCTCGTTGCTTCTCTCTCCCATCGTACTGCTGCAGCTCTACTCTCTGCTTTGGCCCTGCAGCTAACAATACTAACTTTGAATTTTATTAGTCGCTTGGATAATATCGCGTCGAAGCGAGAGTGCGCGCATATACATAGTCCGGGGAGAAAGAAGCAGTTCTAGAGTTCGGTGGCTGTGCAGTACTGGCCTCTGGCTCGCCGTATATATAACGTTATAACACAATACATACAATTATATAGCGCGCCCTAGTCGAATCAGAAATTCCAAAGCGATTTCAACACGAATAATTTCCCGTAAATATAAATGCGCGCGGCTTTCGTAACGCGGTCAACTCGTGGTCGGTAAAGCAGCCCGCGAAAACTTATCGGCGATACAAAGCTGCACTCGCTAGTATGTAGCTTTATATCGTGTATAGAGTTGAAGCCCGACTGATACGCGCGCCTGTTGTACATGAAAAAATCGTCCCGACCATCGGACCATCGTCGTATATATACCTAGGTACGTACCTTGGAGATCCCCTCACATTTTAACTTTTTATCGAGTTCCTAGCTGAAAAATTGTACTTTATGAAAGTAGCAGCACTGCGCGTCAATTCGATCACATTATTCGCGTACACGAGAGAGTAGAACTTTTTTTTTGCTCGCTTGCTTGCTTGCTTGCTACCGCGTTATATACAGTCGAGTACTAGGACGACGTCGCGCAAGCTCGAAGCATAAAATGTTTGTATATAGCGCGTTTTTTTCTAAATTACAATGCGCGCTTTGACCTCTTGGGCTATATATAGGCTTACGCATTCGACTTTAACGAGTTTTACTACCAATTTTTTTCCTTTTTTAATCTACGATAGTAGATTTTGCGTCGCGAAAAATCATTCGCTATCTCGCACCATAAACTATAAATGTATATAGCTAAAACGCGTTGATGATGTAAGCTCTAACGGAAAGCTCGAGCGAGTATAATACATGTATATATCATGCGTTGGACCTATACGCATAATAAAATTGAGCCATTGAGAGACTCAGGTGTAGTAGCGCCACGATATATCTATATAGGAACCCGGTATACGTGCCTTAGCATTCCGCTGCGTCGCTACTGCTCTGCTTCTTACACGCGTATATAGTTACTCATCATCATAGTCTTAGGTGACTCTAATGAAATGCAAGCTCGACGCGCGTATATATACGTATAGTGCGGCACGTGTTGCGTAAGCTCATTTACGCTGGCGCGTGCATCGCTCTGTGAACAGCTCGAAAGTGCCTCATCACTGCGAGCTGGTATAATGAAAGGAAGAAAAAAATCAAGAATAAAAAGGAGGAAAACGACCGTATCGATCGTTGGCTCGTTTTAGTCGAGCTTTTTGAACGAGTTAAAAGGGCTTTGTCTCGAAAATTATTACCACGTAAACGAAAATTGCGTAAGCCAAGTGTATAGTCCCGAACGTACTTCCAGAAGCGAAAAGTTGCTGCAAGGAGTAATTTCTCGATAAAAATTCACGACGAAAATCATATGTCGGCATTTTCTATCTTATGCATCATCGAAAAAAAAATTGTCTAGTGTAACGTATAGATTGAATGGATTTTCAATAGAAATTGTTGCACTCACACTCACATCTTGAGGTTCGTTTTTGCTTCGTACATCACCGACCTGTATGGTCTCGTCAGGAGGCAATCGCCAGGAGTTCCTCTCAACGTTGACGCTGGCGTTCATAGTGCGTACACGCCAACGACCTCTCTCAACCCCTACCTATCCGCCTCCCGGCTCATCCAGGCGCGCGTGCATTCACGAACACACACACGCGCGCGTGGACTTTCGTTCCAACTCCTTCAGTCCCTCTTGCGACGGACCGATCGCGTGTCGCGATTTTTCATGCTTGTTGCTCTCTCGTAGACTGGCTGCTGTAATGCGATGCTAATCGACGATGATCATGGCAAAAATTCAGCAACAGGCCTTGATCCTCGGTAGCCATGATTTTCCCTCTCCTGCAACAAAAACAACGATTAACGCTAAAGAGTAGTTCATTTTTCATAGGGTATAAAAATAGATCGCAGCGATTCGTAATTCAGTATGCGCGAAACGCGAAACTTTTTCTGTTTGCTTTTGTTTTTCATGTGGAATTTCAGCGCGACACGAGCCATGTACACCTGTCCGCGATTTCAAACTTGTCGCTCGTGTTGTGCTTTTTTTACGCGATATATGCTCGTATACGTACGCGTATTCGTAATGTTCCAATGTGTGTGCAAACCCCGAGGAAATATCGGCTGGATCGAATTCTCTCTCGCTTTCTCTCAGCTGTGCTTTCACACATACACACACGATATACAGAATACGCTTATAGCGCGTAAATTCAAGCGCAGCAACTGAACAATTAATTGGATTCCATTGATACCCTGTATCTCATCCATCTATCTCTTTTTTTCTTTCGGAAAATACAACGGATCCCACACGGCATACGGCGCCTGGTTCGCTTGCGCGTGTATTAAATTCTTCGACTTGGCGAATTATTCGACGGGTTTATCGACGTTGAGCCTCTCTGTCTCATGTATCGATTGGCGTCGCGTTTCTGTTTTTAATATGGAGTCACGCGCGACTCCGATGTGTTTAGACTACATTTAGCGAGTGCTTTACGGTCGCAGTTAAAAGTTAACATTCGAATGTCACCAAGTGACTGAATTATTGTTTTTATGTGAAATTTCTTATGGGATATTTAGTAGGCCAGACTATTTAATGAGAAACGAACGAACAAGCGAACGCGATGATCGCAGAAATGCTGACTTCTCGGTCCTCAGAGCCATCGTATTTCGTACGCTGTGATTAACCAGCACCCGGCGCTCGAGAGTGCCGAAAGTCTGCTTGCTTGTTACTGCTTTGATTAGTAGAAAAGGTGATTATTACTGAAATTATTGCTAAGGAGCTATCATAATTGCAGGATCACCTCGCTAATATACGAATACAGTGAGGACAGTTGCTGGCAAGGATAAAAATTTGAGCAAGTTGATTTTAAAATCAAATGTGAACATACAGTGAAGATACAGTGTTGCCTACATGGCTTAACCTCAAAATAGTGTATATCGTGAAAATTCATAGAGTCATTTTTATTATAATCAAGAAAGTTATGGAAAATAGCAAGGGCATAGTTAGGTATGACTTTCTTGTACATTTCATGATATTTTTTCAAGCGATTTGTAGAATCAAATTTAATAATTCTTTAAGGTGAAGGAAGATACGACAGACAATTGGCCAGATTCAGGTGGAGATGATATTATAGATTCTGTGGATTTTTGTAAAGTCAAAAACCTTGAAACAATCATGTTTTACAAATCATCAGTAGGTTTATTAATTTAAATTATATTCTATTTTTCAACATCAAAAATATAACATAAATTTCAATTATAGATAAATCACATGAAAGAGGTTACGCTGTTCCAGGAAAAGTTAGATAGAGAAATAATCATAGATTTAGAGTGCAAAGATGTTAAACCTGAATTAAAATCTCCATCAACAACTATCTTCAAAACTGAGAATCAAAGTTATCCACTAATCGTGAAAATAAAAAAGCAAGTTGAGAACAATTACAGAGATGAAAAAATTCCTGAAATTTTAATAAAAAAAGAAGTGGATTATAGTAGTAATTGTCAATTGCAAGAAAATTCTCAATTGGACCTTGACAAATCTGAGAAGGATAAAATATTTGGAAAAAGTAATTTGAGTCGAAAAACCTATAAAGAAGAAGCATAAGCATAAGAGCAGTAGAAAATATGAATGTGGAATTTGTTACAAATCATTTGGACAAAAAAGTGACCTCAAACGTCACGTTAATGTAATACATGATCTTTGTAAACCCTTTGAATGTGAAATTTGTCACAAATCATTTGGACAAAACAGTCATCTCAAATCTCACATTAATTCAGTACATAATCAAAGCAAACCCTTTAAATGTAAAATTTGTCACAAATCATTTTGCCGCTACAGTACATGATCATATTAAACCCTTCGAGTGCGATACTTGTCAGAAGTCATTTGGACGAAAAGATCACCTCAACATGCACATAAACACAGTACATTATAAGATCAAACCCTTTGAATGTGAGATTTGTCATAAACCATTCGTAGATAAAAGTAACTTCAAAAGGCATAAAAATACAGTACATAATGAGATCAAACCCTTTGAATGTGAAATTTGTCTCAAAACTTTTGGGTACCATAATAATCTAAAAAAACACATATTCGCAGTACATGATCGCAGCAAACTCTTCGGGTGTGAGGCTTGTCACAAATCATTTGGATGTCAGAGTAAACTCAAAAGGCACGTCAATGCAGTACATTATCACAGCAAACCCTTTGAAAGTATTATTTGTCACAAATCATTTGGGCAAAAAGAGAACCACAATAGACACAAATGCACATGATCTGTACAAACCATTCATATGAGATATTTGTCATGAAGAATTTATCAAAAGGCGCATGGACGTAGAAAATCATGTAATGTGAGATTTGTTCCGAAACGTATGACAGCCAATTAAGACTTTTACATGTACATGAGTACGTTACGTTATTTTGGAAAATCTGTCACGTGCATATCCTTTAATTTTTTGAACAGTAATTAAATATTTTAAATTGTTATACATTTGTTTATTATTATCTTCGTATATAAAATCAAACATTTGAAGAATTTTAAAGAAATTCCGCATGATCCTTGGATCGCGTTCTCTTGAAATTAGGAGAGAAGTAAGTACAGGGTCGACCACCTCGAAAAAAGTGAGAGGTTCATTCATCAGTTTTTTCAACGTCGCGACTCTACAGCAAAGAGCGTAAGCTCTCGAGCGAGTGTATGTTTATTCATGCACTTAACTACTTTTTTTAGTCATCGTCGAAAATAGGAAAGAAACTTTGTGTCGTTTCAACGCAGCTTCTGTTTTGCCGCGCGACGCAGGCAGAAGCTATACCGTTGTAGTTGTTGTTGTTGTTGTTGTTGTTGTTGTTGTTGTTTAAAAATTCATACGACCGAGTTATTCGTAATAAATCCTTTTCATAAGGCATTAAAGTATTATGCGCGAAGAATTAAAGAGAAGAAAAATTTATATATGCGCGCGGCTGTCGACGCGGAACAAAGAAAAAAGACCAGAAGAAGGAAGAAGACGCTGGAGTATACATAAGCAGCTGGGTACCGTTGTGGCGGTGGTGGTCGCGGGATTTTGTAGCTTTTACGGCTCACAATGAGTTCGCAATGAGCTTTGGAGTTTACCTTGCGAATACTTGTGTGTGCGCGCGTGCACTCGTGGACCGAGTGAGCACTAAGAGAGAGAGAGAGAGAGAGAGAGAGAGAGAGAGGAAAAAAGGAAGACAGAGAGGAGAGTCGCAGAGCTCAAGTTTTATTTTTTGAACGCGGGTAATTTCCGAGCTTCCTTTCATTAAAACAAAGTTTCTGCAGGCTGCATTCTCCAAGTTAGGCAAGTATATAGTTCGTGTTTTATGCAAAATTTATTACATTTATTATCCAGGTCTGACCGGCTTGCGAAAGGGAGAGGGTGAGCGGGTGGGCGCATGTATCTCTTTGTGGCACGCGCAGCAGCAGAGCTTAAAATTCTTCGTCGCTGATTTTTCTTTTTACTTTTTTTTCGGCGTTGAAACTTATGGTTCGCACGCGAGGAAAACAATCGATCAATGGTATATTCGGGCTATCCGATGAATATAGATAACGGACTCGTCTCGCGCGCGCACTACTAGCAGCGTCTTATGCGTTTTTCAATATCGAACGTGAACGTTATACCGAACTTTCGCTCTGTGCAACCCACTTTTTCATAAAGTCCAGAAGGAGGAACTTTTCGATAGGTATATCGAAAAAATGTTTATTAAATTTTTCCCTCCGATCCGTACGCTGAAATATTTCATCGACGTATTATATACGTGTATGTACCTATATAACGTAAAAGCTCGCGCTGCCGCTACTAGTCGGGATGAATTACTTTTAATACATTTACGTGTCTCGGGTACAAAAGTGATTCGACTGTTGACTGCTGCAACTGCTGCGACGAGCAATGCACCCAACCAAGCTCAAAAGTTTTTATCGTCGATTCGACGATTTATCAGCGAAACAATAAGTGAGACGTTGGAGGCGCCTCGCGTAAGGAGTTTATAGCCCGAATGGAAGACGTTGCACTGCGACGAGGAAATAATCGTCGCGCGTGCTATAGCGACGCTATTAGCGGCAAATGATCTAGCCGAGCGTGAAAGGTGGCCCTAATTCTGCCACTCGTTGTCGTCGTCGGAACTGTCTTTCTCTTTTTTGCCCAGATCTCGAGTCCAGATATACCCGTCGGGTGCAACGCGCGCCCGCTCCTATTCATTTATATCTATATATATCGTGCAGTGCGCAAACAATGCCTCGCAGACACGTCGCCGAGATGGTCGCGCGCGTCGCACACAAGAACAAAGGCTTATAGTGCTTGACGAGTCGTCATCGCGTCGTCGTCGTCGTCGTAGTTTTCGTCGCGCGAGAAGCCTCCTGTGTGCGCCGCGTGCTAAAGATTCTGGCTATCGTATACAGTGCCACGGGCTTTTCACTCTCTGCACTGCACGTATATGTATGTGTGTGTGTAGGCCAGACGCAGTCAGATAAAGAGCAATTTTTTTTCTTTTCGAGTTGACAACGAAAACGACGATGGCCGCGTTCTAATCGCCGACGAGCGAGGCAACTTTTTTCCTCGAGTAGAAAAAAAGTTTTAGTAGAAGTAGTCGCAGTTGCTTTTCGTGCAACCGCAAGCATTCAGGCGATCGAGGTCCTCCTAAAGCCCAACAACAAACATCTTTGAGAAAGTATGGATAGAGCTTGCGACGAATTTTTTCTCTTTTTCTTTTACACACGCGCGCAGACCTTCGAAATCGATCGCATGTTCTACTGCACGGGTGCAAGATTAAAGGCCAGTACTGCTCCAAAAAACCAACGTCCTGTGTAAAATCTTACGCGAGTATACTGCACGAGATCACGTACGTCGCGATCATCAGGCTGTATACCGCGCTGCAGTCCGGGGGCGAGCACTCGGGGCTGCATGTGCACACGATTGCGCGCGCGCTCGCAGCTCACATCCGGTTTTTGTGAATTTTCAGCGGGCGAGAGATCTTTGGCCGCGACTTGTGCAGTGTACACATAGCCGAGCTTGTCAGCTTATACAACATTGAAAAACAAGGCAGGGCTATCGGACCGCTCAAAGTCACGCGCTCTGCACTTTTTTTCTCAGAATAATACGTATACGTTTATGCGGCGTGCGCGGGAGTTAAGAGCTTAGATGGGGGTTGCCGAGAATACTGCGCGCGTGAAAGACCCCTTCTTAGTTTTTATTTTATTTTGAGAGCTAGCGTCGATTTTGTAGGTTTTTGGAACGCCCGCGCGAGTAGCTTGGTTCACTGAGAGAAAGAGAGAGGGAGATGATAACGACGTTGCGAATAAGCGAGCGTTTGCGTCACACGATTTTTCGCGTAGTTTTTTCCTTTTTTGTCGCCTCTGCTACTACGCTGCATGCTGGCTCAAAACCAAGAAAACGAGCAACCATCAAGGAATATTATGCGCCGATTTTTCGAAAGTAGGAAGAGAAAAAAAATGTGATCCCTTTTTTTTTCGAGCCGCGTCAACGTAAAGAGCTGGGCGCGAACGCGCGTGGCGGAATGTGTCAACTCGACGGATGAATATGCGGGAAAACGAGCGACAATTGTGTGCCTCCGCTATCGTTACGTTATTCGCGCGCTGGCATACAAGATCTTCGAGGACGACGACGACGATGACGACTATGCTCAGCGCGAGGCACGTAAGAAAGGGCTATAGAGCATAATATACGCCGTTGTAAAGCAGCTACTGTAGTTCGCCTTGAATTGTATCAAGCACTCGAGCCAAAGCTGCACGGAAAATGAGGCCAACACTCGCACAGACAAGCACGACGCGGCGCGTACACAGGCCAACGATTTTACATTTATTCGCTCCGAAAGGAAGCGACATTCCTTCAGCTAGCTCGACGCAAAAAGGGACTCGACTCTTCTTGAGACTATACTGTAACACGCGACTACGTGTACTGTGATTTAATATTTTTTTTTCCCCTCCCATCTCGCGCGCTCTTACCGCGTACATTATATGATAGAATAATATAAAGTCGTCGAGCTAACTGTACGCGCATATAACTCAACGGCGGACCTTTGCACAATTGAGAGGATAAAAATTAATCCTCTTTGCAGGGTTTAATCTCTTCCTTGTCCAAGGAGTGTGAAATCGCGAAACTGAGCGAGTTAGTTTTATATTTATGCTAATCGGGGACTCCTTTTGCTACTTGCAGATTTACAATACGCCATCTGTTTGTGGAATCGAAAAGCTCACAATAATATGACAACTTTTATTTATGATAAAACTTATTACGAACCAAAATGATTTTTGGAATATTAATCCTCACGCGTTTTTCTACGAAAACATACAACGCATATATTATGGAGCAAGGTTATAGACAATACGCCGAGCGTGTACGTTTATATTCCGTTCCGCGCTATTTTTTATGTAGTATACCGTAGAATAGAAAAAATAAAAATAAAATAATCGTGAACGGTATATACGAAGCAATCTATCTGTACGCGCGTACGCGTGTAGTGCATACGATATACGCGTTCATATTTTTTACCAAAAGAACCAGCGGAACACAGGTGCTCGCGCGCGGGCGCAGTGCACGAGGCCGTTCCTCTTTCTCTCTACCTCTCGACTGCTCTATACGTTGGAACTGAATCTTTTTTCTAAATACTCTTGACTGCAGGCGGCAGTAGCAGATGGAAAGAAAAAGAAAGGAATTCCTATCCCCGTCCGTGCAAGCGCACGGGCGCACACCGCCTGTAGCTTTCAAGTGCACTTCCGTAAAACTTTTTTCTTAGCCACGACCTC